GAAGGCGCCGGTTTGATTGTCCACACAAGAGAAACGAGTTATGTTTGAGGATCCTGGATTTGCGATAAACAACTTCTAAAATGTGTTGATAAATTGATGATTGTGATTTTTGGAAGGAATGTGACATGTGTTTTTATCGTGTTTAAAAATAAAATTTTTGCTTGAAAAATTTACGGTGTTACAGATATTACTTATTAATAACCATATTAATAATAAATATACAAAATGTGTCAACTTGATAAAAGTGTGACCCTATAGATCATATATTGTTAACAACTAGGTTATAATCCGTGTTCTACACGGTTCACAAAGTAAAACAACACTGAAACATTAAAAAAATATATAATATCAATCATGCAGTTATTTTAAAACATAATTAGATGTTTTATCCGTGTTTATATAATTTTATAATATAACTTTATAAAATGAATTGAAGATATATGTCTTGATGTCTAAATTAATGATAAAATGATCATGATGAAGGAACCAAGTATATAACATTTAAAAAAAAAAAATCAATCACAAAAATAACATTACTTTATTTAAAATTAATAATTTAAGTTGTCTGTTTTTTAACTCTAGATGATTATTACACATAAAAATATCAATCAAATATGTTTTCAAAAAAGGCCAAGAGCTTGCAAAAAATTAATTCGAGAACCACTTGTCGTAAATATATTTAACAATGAATTGTAATCATGGGTTTGGGCCTAATAGCTGAGATTCAACTTAAGTATTTCACCTTCAATCTTGAACATATTAAAATTCACACATCATGTATACAAACTTGGATCTAATTCGAGTTAAACATCATGTTTATATGCAGAGCAAAATAGAATTTATTATAAATATATAAATAAACAATAAAAAGAATCAATTATAACTTATAACCACTTGATTTGAAGATTAAGATACAACTTGATGTTTTAATGGAAATTATGTCATCTCGTTTACCTGAAATCAAGAACAAAAGGTAACATGAAGACAAAATAAGGTGATTTTTCTATATATTTAGTGACGGAAAGAATAAAGAAAAATGAAGCTTACCCATTTATAATAAACTTAAACTTACGAGACGTACATGTTTAGGAACGGGTAGCCAAACTCTAAGAACTGGTGATAGAAGTTGATATGGCACAGTTATCACCTTTACTTGTTTCGATGGTCTCAAAACAAAAAACTAATATCCTTAATATACAAATACAACCTCAATATTTAAAAAACTAAAAAAATGTAAATGAAACATACACCTAAAAACAAAAACGAAGATACACACAAATACAAACAAAAATACATACACTTATACTCACAAAAACATACACGTATGTGCACATATACACACACCTACAAAGATACATACATCTACACAAAAACATAAATATACACACACCTACACAGATTCATATATCACCTGACAACTTCCAATCGCTCCGGCAAAACCTCCATATACAAAGTGAATTAAAAATAAACTAAACATTTGGGTTAAAATCAATGGTTGTTAAATCGAATAATATAAATAGAGTCTTCCGTGATTTTGGAATTGATTTACTGATATTCCTGCAAAATCTCAGAAATTATGGAGTAGATTTCTGGCAAATTGCCGATCAGTTTCAACCTTGGCAAATTTGGGATACGTTGCCATAGATAAAGATTTAATCAATTCAAAATTATGCGAATTACATGGTTACCATAGATAAGAAATACCAGATTTCTTGATTATATTATATGTTCTTAATTAATCAAACGTAATATTTTTTAAAATTATTGAAAATTATAACAACTTGACATGTGGCAAAAGTACATGTGTCATTTTTAGAGGAATTGAGAAAAAAATTGAAATTTATGAGGAAATGACAAGTGGCAAACTTTAGACTCTTTTATTAGAAGAGAAGATATCACTCCATAATGATTCTTGGGCATATAGATTCAACACGTTAGGCGTACAAGCTCGTACGTGTCACATACAAGCCCTAAAGCGTGTACGCTTAGCGTACAGGTGAGTACGCCCCACGTACTCATCAGGATTGGACTTCGGTGTTTGGCTTCAGTTTGGGCCATCTTTTAGGCTTTGTTGTCTTGGGTCCTATTGGGCCATCAGTTTTGGGCTAATAATTATTTAAGAAGACCTACAATGGGATTTGGGCCAATTTTGTCAATTGGGCCTTGGGTGGCTAATTTGGTAATTGGGCCTTTTAGATTATTAGGCTTGGGCTTAAGTTTCGGTCCAAACTAGGTAAGGGATAAATTGGTCATTTACCCTAATTATGTTCTGATGGTTTGGATGGGAATTGAATTATTAATTGAATGTTATTTTATATTGATAGCTCGAGGATTTTCCAGACCAGCAACCAGGGATTATCAGTGTGATTCGGCAGTGCGAGGTGAGTCTCCTCACTAAGTTTAGCGGGTCAAAGGCACCAATGCCGACCCATGGTTTATATGTTAGGATGCTAGATGTATGTGTGACTCTTGCATGTGTTATGTGATGACATGTTTACCGAGCAAGGTCCGATGCCAGGCAGGGCCTGATGAGAATATTGTGTGCTAGTTATCAGTATGTGTTTTTGTGTTACCGGGCAGGGTGGGGCTCGATGGATGTATGGTATGGTATTATCTTTGTGATTATCGTATGTGTTAGTATGATTATATGTTTATATGATTATATGTATAGGGCGGGGCCTGGTGATTGACATATATGTAAGCTGAGTGGGGCTCGATACCGAGCAGGGCCCAGTATTTGATTTATTATGTTTGGTATGTGATATCTTGAGGAACTCACTAAGCTTTGTGCATATAATTTTCAGTTTATGTTTCGGGTACTTCAATTTTTAAATGGAAGAGTTCGGGATGATTGCAGAGCACACACCACCTCATTCCGCATTTTCTTGATTTGCTCTTATAAGAAACGGTGATTGATACAATTGTTTGTTTTAATTTATATGATGATGTTCTGGGAATACTGGTTTATAAATTTAAAAATGAAATTTTTGGAGCTTATTTTTGGGACGTTAGACTGTAAGCCAACAAACCCGGGGCAATCTAATCGTGAGATTGTGGGCTAAAGTGGCAACCAACCTGGTGGTTGTGGGCCTAGGTAATCCAACCGGGAGGTTGTGGACTCAACATGCAATATGTATATTTGTTTGGCTGTGTGTAGTGCTTTGGGGGAACTCGCTAAGCTTTGGCTTATAGTTTAAGTTTTATATTTCATGTACTTTAGATGATCAAGGCAATATAAAGGCTTGATCGTGCACATCCTTCAGTTTTTATGAGATTCGATTTTGGGATACTCTGTTTTATTTATGATCTTTGTACTTTAGAAACCATGTTTTGTAAACATTTATGGTTTTTGGTTTTTTTTTTTTAATGGAAATTTTACCTTGATTTTCGGAATGCTACAAATGTGCATTTAACTTAATATTGTCCACCTAATTGTTCAAATCCACAAACATAATATAAGAATGAAAAGCTAAATCCCACCACCTTCCTACTTGATTCAAAATAAAGTTTGCAACTAAACACGAAATGAACAAATGATCCATATTCTCGACCGAGTGTCACATAATGGGAAACAGGTGAACTCAACATCAATCCATTTATCAACCAAGTTCACATTTGTAAGTACCCGATTAAGGCATAGTCTGCAAGTCAAGATGTTAAGTTTTATAGGAGTAAAGGAGATCTACTTTGTAGCAGCAGCCGCCCTCAAAGTATCATTCTCTCAAAAGATTTTGCAGAATAAGTAGAACAAAATCGATAGGGATATAAATTCCACACCGATTTATCTCGTTAATTCAAAACAATAAAAAACTAAAGTAAGTCCATCATTCGAAACTCCTTGGCTCCCCATTGGCAATCAAGGAAGAAAAGGGGATCAATCCTCCACCTTAACTTGGTCTTTAACCAATCAACTTTTTTTCTCCTCTAAGCAATAAATTACAGAGAATCTAATTTTTATTTGAATTTAACCATATACTATGTTTAATTGATTAAATTACTCAAAATTTATTTATTTATCAAAATAAGTTTACATATGTAACAAGGGTTTCCCAACATATTCATTAAAAATCTACAACTTTGTCCAAAGATTGGAGATCTATTTCTTGGATGATGGTAATTCACATAGAAGATTACTTTTGGAATCTTCAATCTTTGGTATCTCACGTCCTTATTATTTTCTTGATTCTTTTGGGTCTTTCACTTGTGGAAGAAGTTTTGAACCAACATTCTCGCCTAATCATTCGAATACAACTCAATGAATGAGTAGGATGATTGCCCTACAATTTGCCATTAGTTAATTATTCTTGATTAATAAGAATGATTTAGTTGTTCCACGTTCTTTTTTATGATCTTCCAAATGCAAGTCATTTTCTTCTTGTTTGAGTGACATCTCAGGTGGTCATGCAATTGTAAGCTCAATACCCTACAATTAACCATTTCTTAAAGGTTCTTCTCAGCTTAACCAAACAACTATTTGTGAGACGCTTTCGTAAAATATCTTTAAGAAGATGATCATTTATGTGATTATCCCATCTATAAAATTACCACTTATAATTTTAAATCTTTTAAGATCGTATGTTTAATCTTCATCAAAAATTTATTTATAGTTTTGAAATTAAGTCGAATTACTAAATTTGTACCCGTATTACCGACCTCGACTTAATACACTCCACGTGTTTTGGCTCTCACCTTCCTTATTTCGTTAAAAATTAAAATCATATCTCAATCTCCATATTCGTCTTATCCGTTACCCACGTTGACCTGTTTACCCTTAACTACTCCGCGCACGTGAGGGGTAAATCCGTCAATTCACTTCTCCACCATTACTATATTAACCCCATCCCGCCCTTACTCTCTTCACCTCCACATAAAACCTGGTATTCTTAGTTCCAGACTTCAGTACATGCACGTCGTCGTTTTGTCACGTCAAAACTAAAACAACCAAACAACACATAGTGCATTGTGAAAGTGTGTGAGTGTGAAAAAAATAGAGTGAAAAAATGGGTAGCTTCCGGTGGTGGTTTACAGCTGTTTTGGTACTCGCCGTCGGTGTAACGGTGAATGCCTGCCCGCCGTCAGATAGGGCAGCTTTGTTGGCCTTGAAAGCTGCTTTACACGAACCTTATTTGGGCATTTTCGAGTCGTGGAAGGGCAACGACTGTTGTAGCAAATGGTACGGCGTTACTTGCGACCCGACTACTAAACGGGTTGCGGATATAGCGCTTCGTGGAGAGTCCGAGGATCCGATTTTTCAGAAGGCGAAGCGGACCGGGTACATGACGGGTTCAATCTCACCGGAATTATGTAAGTTGGAGAGGTTATCGAATGTAATTATCGCCGATTGGAAGGGTATTTCAGGTACTATACCTTCCTGCATTACCACTTTGCCGTTCCTCCGTCACCTAGATCTCGTCGGAAACCAAATCTCCGGCGAAATCCCTTCCGATATCGGCAAACTCAGCCTTCTGACGGTTTTAAACCTGGGGGATAACAAAATCACTGGGAGGATACCGAGGTCGATTGCAAATCTAACTTCGTTGATGCATTTGGACCTACGAAACAACTTGATCTCAGGAACTATACCGATCAACATCGGTAAGCTGAGGATGCTCAGTCGTGCTTTGCTTAGCAACAACCAGATCTCCGGACAGATTCCGAACACTATTTCCTACATCTATCGTCTCTCAGATCTCGATCTCTCGTTAAACCGGATCTCCGGACCGATTCCTGAAGCGCTTGGAAAAATGAAGGTGCTGGCGACGTTGAATCTCGATGGAAACATGATTTCCGGTCAATTACCAACGTCGTTGATGAACTCCGGCATTAGCATTCTGAACCTTAGCAAAAACGGTATCGAAGGAAGCATCCCGAACGCATTCGGACCTAGATCTTACTTCATGGTGATGGATTTATCGTATAACAACCTGAAAGGTCCAATTCCGGAATCGATAGCATCAGCGTCGTATGTCGGACATCTTGATCTGAGCCATAACCATCTGTGTGGGGCGATTCCGGCGGGTTCATGGTTCGACCACCTTGAAGCGTCGTCGTTTACTTACAATGATTGTCTGTGTGGAAAGCCTCTTAAGGCTTGTTAATTGAATTTGTTAGATTAATGTATTTACTCGTCGGTCGCCGTTCAAAGGATACAAATGTCGCCGGAGATTTGTTTCAGTTCGGCAAGTTTGAGCAGTTGGTTTTTACAGTGTCGGTGTTTCACAGGTAATGATGTCTTAGTATGTAATTTCTAATCTGGTTAATTGTGTAGTTATGGATTATGGAGAGTTTATATAGCGTGGAGAGGTTCATCGTAGTTACAATGCACCGCTTCTTTTGAATGAACACTTCACATGCTGTTATTAACTTATTATTAGTTTTTTATTTTCTGATTCTGATTTTCTGATCTTTTTATTAAATATATACCTTATAATTATAAATAATATCTTTGTCTGTCCATCAATTAAAAACTGATTGTGCCACCTCTGTAACTTGTTACACGTGAATGTCATGTGAATTTTAACGAACCTCGTGTCATAAAAACCAGTTTCACAGTGCTTACAACCAACAATGTTTTTCAATCTGTTAACTATTAAATATATGTTGGAGTATTAACTTTAAAATACAAATAAAAATGAAATATTTTATTCTTCTATTACAAATGACCATAAACACATGAAAAAACGTAGGTCATTAACATAAAAATAAAAATGATCAAAAGGCTTCTAGCCCAGCGGTATCAGATGGTGCCCTCTCTCATTGAGATCGAGGGTTCAAGTCTCATCGTGGATATAGGTGGAATTAAGTGTTAGTTTAAGTGTAGATTATATATTTGTATTTGCCGGTTAAAAAAAAAAAAAAAAACATAAAAACTTTTATCCCGTTTAACCATCTAACTTTTACGTGTTTTTAGATAAAAGTTATATTGCAACAATTATGGCCTGCAAATGCTATTTTTTCTCAACAAAAAAAATCCATATTTCAAAAAAATCCGATCACGACTAAGGTTATAAACGAACTGAACATTCACCGTTCGGCGAAAAATTTGTTTACATTCGTTTATTTAATAAATGAACGAATATGAACACAAATACTTGTTCGTTTAGTTAAACGAATAAATATGAACAATTGTCTCGTTCATTCAAATATGTTTATGAATATTGTTTATGTTGTTCGTTTATATGAATTCATTTTATGTTCGTATATGATTAATTATGTTTGATTATATTACTATATTATATCATATATTTTAGTTATGTTTCTTTATTTTTGTTCATTTATGCTTGTTTGTTTAATTTTTTTTTTAGCATATACAAGAACATAAACGAATTGACATGAACAATGTAATTTGTAAAATGAATGAACATGAAAAAGAACATTCGTTCGTTTATCCGTTCGTGTTCGTTTATTTGTTTGACTAATTTTAACGAACGAACATGAACAAGCTCTTGTTTGTATTCATTTGATTCGTTTATAGCCCTAATCACGACCATAATCCCGACCATTATTGGTTTTTATCTTTTTGTTTTTATTTTTAATGCCTATTTTTATCGAAAAAAAATATTATATAAAAATTTATAATCTTTTGTCATTTATAAACATACAGTTATGATGATATATGTCAATACAAAACTGCAAACTTCAGTTTTTCTGTTAAAAAAACATTATGTTTTGATTTTTATTATTTAGATTGAATTTTTACTAAAACTAAATCATAGAAACCAAAATCAAATGATTTTTCCATCCAAAAAAATATAAACTAAATCATAGAAATTGAAACTAAATAGTTATTAAAAAAAAAAAAAAAACTTTTCAGTTTTACAAATATCGATATAGTTGTGTGTTTATAGATGTTAAAAGATTATAAATTTTGGTATATTAACAAAAATGGATGGCAGTTGTGATGGAACTTTTTAAAAATATTGATGATTTTTATAGATAAAAAATGACATTACTTGTTTGATCGGCATTTGAAGGTCGTAATAATTATCATAGAAATTTTATCCAAAAATTGACGTTTTTTTAGAACAAATTAAGATTTAATGATTAAACCGAAAAGATAATATCAAAATACAATGGTTTTATATTATTAATCCAAAAAAACATATGAAAACGTTTCAGAATATTTTTTAACATGAATAAAAAATGAGTTTCACTGTGACATTGCGAGAAAACTCAAAACATGAACAACTTGCGATGACCACAAAATTTTGCAAGTAAGCTCAAAACACGAACATTTATAAGAAAGAGAAAGAGATAAAAAAAATATAGTAGAGAAAAAGAAAATTATTGAAACGTCCCAAAATAACCAGTAAAATTTTCATTTTAAATAAGTCAAAATCATTTATTCATTATTCCAAAAGATGATCAGAGTAAAATAATAAACAATCATTGCGGAATAAATCTTCAGGAGATGCAATGCGTGATAGGTTTTATAGGCTACAAAAATCTTATTTTTGCGGAAAAACTTTAACCCTAAGTTCACATGCAACCTAAAGGATCAATGTTTCCACTATTGATTGCTATAAACTATGAACATCAAAGAACCCTATAGAAACCCTATGATTTTCGACAATCATAAGAAAAGTTAGTGTTTACATACCTTTTAGTTATTGTTTCAAATAATTAACCAAAACATTCTTCAAGAGCTCTTGGAAGCTAGCACCATAAATCTCGTGCATCTGATGGTTCACACCCAACCCTAGCAACTAGGAAACTTGAAGAGAAAGAGAGAAAGGAGAGGGGAGGAAGAATTTTCTGCTATGGTCCTAAGGAAGATGGCCGAAAATATGAAGATGTAAAGGGGATTATATAAGTGTACAAGGAGCTTAGGATAAAACAGGTTTTCTTAGATAACCCTTACAACCTCCTCCAAAACCGTCCACCTATGGGAAGGTTCTGAAATTCCTTAATGCTCAACTTTTGAACATTGACACATTTAGTCCTTATACTTTTAATTAATCCCAAAATTAATTTCAATTAATACTGATTAATTATTAGGTTAAATAATACTATTTCTAATTAATATATTATTCTCATAATATATTGATAAATCATTCATTTTGACTTCTAATTAATTTATTAATCATATAATAAATTAATAAACTAGTCTCTCTATCTATCTATCTATCTATCTCCCGCTCTCTCTTTCTCTCTAAAAGTTATCATATTCAATTACTAGGTTGAGGGCAACCTAAAATGACTCTGCTTTTAATTTAAGTATACCAATTTAGTTATTACTTAGACACCTAATCCAACAGTTTCTCACTTAGATTGGTCTATAACTATAATTTCCAGTATAACTTCTAAACTAACAACAAATGGTGCTTCCCAGAGCAACTCTAGTCTCTAATATGATCAGACATTAGTCCTAAGATAAGTGATCAAGTATTCATTCGTTCTTCAAGATATCATATGGACATGATACTGTTGGATTAGTGTCTAACCTCGTAACTATATTTGATATGTACTTGACCCGGTTGTGCATGGTCCTTTTGGGTTGCCTTCACCAAAACAACTTGACAAGGTTATTTAATAGAGAGAGAAGATATTATGATTTATTAATATATTATAAGAATAATATATTAAAGGAGTAATCATATTATTTAATTAATATTGGTCATAAATTAATTAGGAATTAATTTGGTGACTAAAAGAGATTAATTGAATAAAGGGGCTTAAACTGTCAAATGTGTGATAGTTGAGTTTTGGGCTGGGAAACCTAATGGACTAAGGGGGAACGAAATTATGATGGGGATCCATCATAATTTCGTCCATAGGCCCTATTCCAGAAGGTTCCATAGGCTGCTTGGTGACTAAGTTGTCCATTAGGGTTTAGACTGAAACCCTAGCAGCCTACAGTATAAATAGAGACCCTTGCTTGCAATTTTCGGTACTTTGACTCCAAGAGAAACCCTAGGGCCAATTTTAGCATCCTCCCTCCTCTCTCATAATTTCCTTCTTGCTTGTGTGGTGTTTGTAAGCTGTTAGAGGAGTTACAATTGTGACTCTAAGCTCAAGACCAAGAAGAATCAAAGGATTTAAAGCTAATTGAAAGAGGTAATCTGTTATTATAGTGTTAATTTCGAATTATGCATGCTAGATCTAGAGTTACAAGTCTTGGATGAATTACATGTACAATAAAGAAGCCTAGATCCAAGCTTTAGGGTTTTGCATGAGCACATAGGATGTTCTTTTGCATTAAAAGCATCAGTGGTATCAGAGTCTTGATTGGTTTCTGTTGTATGTGATGTAATTGTCGAGTTTTTGCTGAAAATCGTTTTTCTGGCCTCTACCTGACCCGACTTGGCGAGTCAGTATCTGGACTCGGCGAGTCCAGGTAGTGACTCGGCAAGTCTGAGAGTCAGACAGAGGATATCTGGGGATTTCTTGTTGTTTTGTTCTGGGATAAATGCCAAAATTGTTTTTTAATAATAAAATTTGAATTTTATTGTATTTAAATGATTATCCTTACCAAAACAAAAGATAATTTCAAATCATTTGAATAATAGTTTCTTTATATGATAAATATGGATTATTTAAATTATTTGGTAATTATCTTGTGACTAAAATTGGATTAGGTCAAATATAAATAATCATAAAATTAATTGTTAAATTTATATTATTTGTTATTTGATCATTTGTGTTTTGAAAAGTTCAAAACTTGTCCTCAAGTTTGAAATTTAAATTTTATGATTAAAAGTTTTAATTTTTTAATGATTTAAATTTCAAACCCTTAGAATTTTACAAGTTTAAAATTCAAACTTATATTATTATATTAGGGATAATGTCACTGTAGCACAAGGAACTTTTAACATTTGGCTAATTTGGTCCTTAAAGTTTTTTTTTTGGTACATTAGACCAGTAAACTCATAATTGACCTTTTAATTACACCATTTTAGCAACTTTTAGAAGGTTTCCTGGTTATACGATGCCATTTTGTCAATTAATATATATTTTTTGTCTAATCCGATGCCACGTGAGATATGCCACGTCAATTAATGAAATACGATGCTTAAAGCCTTTCGTCTTCAACTATGGAACTTCACTAGTCTTCGTCTTCATTATTCAGCTGTAAAAGAAACTGATTTAGGGTTTGTGAAGCATTCCTGTGATCGAGCTGAAAGAAACAAAGAACTCGCAGCAATGGCACAATTGGAACCTAATGGACTGTTTGCGATGGTGGAACTCAACTACCAAGGGGTATTTAATCGAAATCCTTTCTCTTACACTGGTGGTGTTAAAACCATCTTCAATGATGTTGACTTTTCTTCTATGACTTATTCTGAGTTTGTGACCTTCTGCGAACGTTTCATGCATGAAGAGTGTAAAAAGTCTTACTACTGTGAACCAGACATGTCCTTCATGGAAGGGCTTAATCCCATTTCAGATGATGTGGAATATTCTGCTTTTATTTTTGATGCTTATGGAACAGATGGTGTAATTTCGGTTTATGTGGAGCATATTGGGGTTGGTGTTGATGGGTGGCATGATGATGAAGATAATGATGATGATGAACATGAGTCTTGTATTGACGGTGAAAATGAAGAGAACATAGATGAACTTAGAAATGTTGCCCTTGAATTTAATGAGGATGTAGTGCATATGAATAGGACATCAAATGATCCTTTCTTAAGTAAGCTATGTGTTGATGATGAGGATGCAAACAACATTGTAGATGATGACAATGGGAGAGAAGTTGAAGTTAACATACAAACTCATTCCATCTTTAATGAGCTATTACACTGGAAAAAACAAAAACCAATTCTAGGGATGAGATTTAAGGGTCCAGGGCAAGTAAAATCAATGTTGTGTAACTATGTTGTAGCTAATGGATATCAATTGTGTTTTGAAAAAAATGATAGGACAAGACTTTTGGTGAGGTGTAGCAAAGGTGCTTGCACATTTAGATTATGGGCTTCCTGGATGAGTGATGAAGAGAGTTTCCAAATCAAGTCACTAAAAGCTGATCATAATTGTGCTAGGAACTTCAAGTTTGGATCATTGGTGACATATGCATGGATTGGGAGTCACTATACCAAAGAGATTGTAGAAAGTCATAAAATAAGTGTAAGGAAGCTTTGGTTAAAGGTAATGGCCAAGTTTGGTATCCAAGTTAGTATGGGGCAATGTAGAAGAGCAAATAAGTATGCACTGAAACTTATTGAAGGTAACCTTGTTGAACATTATGGTAAGATATGGTCATATGGTCATGAGATTTTAAGGACAAATCCTGGGTCAACTGTGAAACTTGATATGGAGGATGGTCCAGATGGAAAGAAATATTTTAGCAAGTTCTATTGTTGTTTTCAAGGAGTTAAGCAAGGTTGGATTGAAGGGTGTAGAAGGGTAATTGGTCTTGATGGATGTTTTCTTAAAGGTGTTTGTAAGGGATAATTGCTTTGTGCTATTGGGAGGGATGCAAATGACAAGATATATCATATTTCTTGGGCAATGGTTAATGTGGAGAACAAGCATAATTAGAAGTGGTTTCTAGAGCTTCTCATTGATGACCTACACTTGAATTTAGGCAATGGTTTCAGTTTAATGTCAGACCAACATAAGGTTAGTATTTTACATAGAAATGCATTTATGTTAATTTTAGACTATCTGAATTAAACCTTTTTACTACTACAGGGTTTGATAAAGGCTGTTAAAGAGTTGCTGCCATATGTAGAGCACAGGCAGTGTGCTAGACATATTTGCCAGAATTTGCAGAAGAGATTTACTGGTGCCATATATCATACCTTGTTTTGGAGAGCATCTAAAGCCACAACTGAGCATGCTTTTAAAGTTGTGATGAAAGAAATTGAGACATTGAACCCAGATGCCCATCAATATCTCATGGAGAAAGATCTTAAAACATGGTCTAGAGCTTTCTTTCAAACTGGAAGGTGTTGTGATGCAGTTGAAAATGGGTTCTCAGAAAGTTTTAATGCTGTAATAGTAGATGCTAGGAAGAAGCCCATAATAACCATGTTAGAGGAGATAAGATTATACATGATGGATAGAATCTACAACATGAAATTAAAGGGACAACAATGGGGAAATCATATTTGTCCAAAGATAAGGGATAAGGTGAATTTGCTTAAAAAAAACTCAAAGGCATTATCAGGTACTACCAAGTGGATTAAACCAATTTGAGGTAAGGGGAGAAATAGATGCATATGAGGTGGACTTAGAAAGAAAAACACGCTCATGTAGGTTGTGACAATTGAATGGATATGGATGTGCTCATTCTGTAGCTAGCATATCCTTTCTTAATAGGGATGTAGAAGCCTATGTAGACAACATGTTTAGCACAACCACATTTAGAAAGGCATACAATTACAGAATTTCTCCCATGAATAGCAGTGACATCTGGCCAGAGACAAACTATACTCCACCATTGCCTCTTATTAATAGAAGGATGCCTGGTAGGCCAACTACTAAGAGGAAGAAATCCACTACAGAGAATATAGGAACACACAGGGTTTCTAAGGCTGGAAAGAAAACCATATGTAGTATTTGCAAGGAGATAGGTCACAACAAGGCCACTTGTCCACAAAGAAGGCCCCAAAAGTTAAATATGAAGAAACAGAAGAAACACAAAGTATGTGTGAACCAAAACGCAGAACACGTAAAAAAATTTAAAATATAAGATTAATTACATATAATTTGTTACTAACATAATTATATCATGCCATGTACGGTAGTACAAGTGAACCACAACAACATGAAGAGGTTGAAATGACTCCAATTGAGATGGATACTACTCAAAATGATATGCAAGTTGCTCCTACTGATGTTGAATCTAGTAGTGCAGGGGATTTTAGTCATTATATGCAATTTACTCCACCTAGATGTTATGAAGGTGATGAGGGTGTTATGGGTGAGGAAGCTGATATGGTTGAGGAAGCTGTTGTGGTTGAGTAAGTTGTTCAAGATGAGGAGGCTGAGGAGGTTGATCTTGTTATCCAATTTGATAATGTAAATGTTCAGGAGGTTGATGAGGTTAATCCTAATGCCCAAGTGGATAATGGTAATGTTCAGGAGGTTGCTCCTGTTAACCAAGTTCAACACGTTTGTGTTAGGCCAATTTCAGATATTTTGAAGAGGATAAGGAGAAGAAAGTCAGAGAGAATACTGAAGCTGAAATTAGGCAAAACAATTGGTGGTGTTGATGATCTAGGAAATTCGAAGGGAAAAGCTCTTGTAATTGATTAGTGTTTATTGTAATTTGTGTTTAAGGTTTATGTATAGGATGATGGTGAATTGGATTTAAAGTTTATGTAATAGGATGATGGTAATTTATATTTAAAGTTTATGTAATAGGATGTTGGTAATTTATATTTAAGTATGTGTGACATTAAAGGGTATTTTGGTCATTTAAGTATGTATGAAAGAAAAAGGGTAATCTGGTCATTTAAGTATTTATGACATAAAAAGGTAATTTGGTCATTTATTTATTGATGTAGGTAATTCATTTATGTATGCAAGAAAATGGTAATTTGGTCATTTAAGTATGTATGACAGAAAGGGTAATTTAGTCATTCATTTATGTATGTAAGAAAAGGGTAATTTGGTCATTTAAGTATGTATGACAGAAAAGGGTATGTTGGTCATTTATTTATGTATGCAAGAAAAGGGTATGTTGGTCATTTATTTATGTATGACATGATGTATGAAGGTATGTTACCATTTTAAGTAAAATCATGACATTTGGCTTTGAATATTATGCATGGAATTGGAATAATGGCATGCATGGGGATGTTTTATATGGCCCCGGATTTGGTTTTTTAATGGCTTCACAGGTCCCATTTTTTCATTATTAAAATGGTCCCCATACACATAGTGTACTTCCACATGGACCACTTCCTAATTAAATATATTTGTAGGGAATATAGACCATGCATATGTTTGATAAACATCATTTGATTATACAAAATGCCCTACAATTGGGACTTTGAATATTTTTTTACATTACTTATCATATGCCCTTTCATTAGGGACTTACCACCTTACAACATCAACACATTAAGGTTGATAACCCCAACTTATAACTAAAACCAGCTTCAATACATACAAAATGCCCTTATGGAACTAACTTTCTAGTATGCCTTTACAAAAAATACAAGGGATCCCAAAAAAACAAAAGCTTACACTAACCAACCAAACTAACTACATTGACCCCCCTAACTTCAAAACACATAGGGCCAAGCAAGCAAAGAACAGGGCAACTATCATCCTGTACCTGCCTATTGCCTTCCTTGCATCATGAACTTCTTTCTCACTCTTTGCCACCTTATACTGCTCCTGTGATAGCAGAAACTCCACTTCAGCAATCCTTCTCCTCAATTTTTCATCTCAGACAGTTCATCTTTGGCATCCAGTTTCTGCTTCAGAGAGTATAACAGGTTTTTGTAGTACCCGTCTGCCTGTTCTTCATCTTTCCATTCAAAGAAGCTACATTTCCTCAACCTAGTCTATAAAAAGCCAATAAAATTAGGGTTTGATTGACAATCACAAATCAACTACCTTTAATGTACCAGCGAAATGGGTTTTATTCACAGTGATCGTCAAGAAGCAAATACAATTAGGGTTTTTAACAGATGAAACAAAATACAAATACATCATTATCGTCTTTACAGAAAGAAACAACACATCAAACCATAAAATACTAAATTATCAAAATCAAGAGAATCAGGACCTACCATACTGTTTTGACAATTCCAGAATCGCCTCCCAGGGTTTGTTATCTTCCAACAAGTTCGTTCTTTAGCTGGAACGCCACAATCACAAACTTTTACCCCTTCTTGCGACTGAACATGAGTGACTTGTAGCTGATTCCTTGACGTCGATGAGCTCGAAGACATTCTTCTTCAGGATGGAAATAGTCGGGGAGGGAGAAGTCTTTGACTTTTCAGAGAAGGGTAAGTAAAGATTGAAAGGAGGTATGAATGAGGGTTTCAATTAATAAGCCTGTATCGACAACTGGACCACGTAAGCTTATTGGACACATCAGTGTGCCACATAAGCATTGTAACCGAGAAACCTTCTAAAATGGTGTAATTGAAAGGTCAATTACGAGTTTAATGGTCTAATGTACTAAAAAAAATTTAAGGACCAAATTAGCCAAATGTTAAAAGTTCCATGTGCTACAGTGACATTATCCCATCATATTAATCATAATTAATGCTAGAGTCACATCGAAAACTTAAATTCAAAAAGATTCATCTCAATTTCAATTAAAATATAAAAATAAGAGTTAAAACATCATATTTTTCCATATAAACACCTTATATGATTTTTAAGATATTTTTATTGATTAATTTTTCATTGTTTCCCAAAAATCAAGCACAAACTTATTTATTCCTTTTTTCTCATCCGTTTTATTCTATCATTCATGCCGCATAACATATTATTACTGTTTTTTATTTAATTTTTATATTATTATTATTATTATTATTATTATTATTATTATTATTATTGTTATTATTATTAAATTAAAGTTCATTATAGTAGTTAAAAATATATCATAATCAATGATTTTGTTCTTTATAAATACTCATCAACATTGTATTTTATATGTATTTTTTATATTTAAGTTCTATAATCACACATAAAAAAATCATTATGCACATAATTTTGGAAGAATTCAAATTGATTTGACTTTGGTTTTTATTTCGATCTCACAATTGTGATTGGTAATTTTGTAAATATATGATTAATGATCATGTTTTTTAAACTTCATTGATATTTATTTTATCATGTATATTATTTATCTCTAAGGGAAACAATATGTGCAATGACTTATTTCTCCCTAATAAAATCAACCAATCAGATGCAACTACTCGCGATCCGTGTCAATTAAAATCAACCAATCAGATCACACATCTCAGTTCATATATAATGCCAACCTCCGTTCATACCATCACATCCACAAACAACAATCTTTCTCTCTCTAGAAAATCAGTCTCTTTTTCTCTAAAATTCAAATACCTTCAATGGGGCCAAAAGCAGAGAAGAAGCCAGCTGAGAAGAAGCTCGCGGAGGAGAAGAAAGTCGTCGTCACTGAAAAACCCCGCGAGAAAAAACCAAAGGCCGGGAAGAAGCTTCCCAAGGAATCTGGCGCCGGTGCCGCCGACAAGAAGAAGAAGAAGAGAAGCAAGAAGAACGTGGAGACATACAAGATCTACATCTTTAAATTGTTGAAGCAGGTTATCCTGATATCGGGATCTCAAGCAAGGCAATGGGTATAATAATTCCTTCATTAATGACATCTTTGAGAAGCTTGCTTCAGAATCATCGAAGCTTGCGAGGTACAACAAGAAGCCTACAATTACGTCAAGGGAGATTCAGACAGCGGTGAGGTTGGTTTTTCCAGGGGAGTTGGCAAGCATGTTGTCTCGGAAGGGACGAAGGCTGTTACCAAATTTACTAGTTCTTAGATTTGGGGGTTTATGGCTTACTCATTATAAAATTTCATCTTTCTCGATGAATTAGGTGGGTAATCAGATTATGAATTGGTTATATTTTGTTGTCAAACAGTTGAATCTATTTGAGAAGTTTTGGTTTTTATAATTAGGTATCCATAACGTCATTTTCCATGTTTAAGTTTCTTATAAATCTTCTGGTTGGATGTGAATTAGTTGGTGAACTTGTATATGATTGTTGATGGTTCCTTATGCCTTATGAAATGGTTGAGTGCTGTTGATTAGGTCTCTACATAGAGTACTCAGTGGACGACTTAAACGTGTAGTTGCAATTTGCAAATGCTTTAGGCAAATCTGTATATCTTATTTTAATGGAAACAATTTATATATTGTTAGGTTGTTTTTTTTCATTGAAATGGTTTTTTGAAGGTTTTTGGATTTTGTGTAAAATCAAATTCTTCTATCCAATTTTATCGCAACAGATCGTTTTAATTTGCCCCTTGGCCATTAACATATTTATTCTTTCTCATCGGTTGCAATTTTAGGGTGCCTTTTGCTTTTGTTTGGTACTATTTGAGAACCAATCTGTTTTTTTTTTGTTTGAGTGTGTCGAACATCAAATTTAGCAATTCATAGTTCCACAAGACTTGCACATCTCGAGGTCGTTTTGCTTGGTGTTCCGGTGTGACATGACTAACATCGGTAACATCTATTTTTCAGACACAATCCATTTTCATTTATCAAAATTGAAACCTTTGCTTTTCAAAAATGAATATAAACAACCCTCAATTTACGCTCGTAGTAAATCATGTGCAAATATTCGTTCGATTGAGTCATCAATTTACATACCACAAACGATTCGTCTTCGATTTCGCCCGACACAAACCCAAACCAACATTTTACTATCAAAAAATAGCACGATAATTTTATGTAACACTCTGTTCTGAAAGTATCCGTTATTGGATTCCAGAGCCCAAGGATGGGGGTGTTTCAGTCTTTTATGGGTCTTAAAGTTTTTATTGAGAATTTTTGGGTTGAGATGTGCCACTAGAAGAGAAGGACTTCTCGTCACCTTTTCGTGGATATAAAGTTCGTCGGAAACGAACTTAGAACGAAGGGGTTATAGCATTTTGAAGTTATTGACATTAATGGCCCATTAATGAAAAGTTGGCAAAGAAGGACCATGCATGCAAAGTGGAAGACACGTGGGTATGCCCTGCATAAGCTGGGTTACACCCTGCGTAAAAGGGAAATGGTCGCGGTTGCTTTTTGGCGTACGTCCAGAGTCCAAAACCCCTAAATTTAGGGTGTGCCACGATTTAAGGAACATTATATCCTCAAGATTCAGCCTCAATTTCACCCTAAAGAGCTGCTACGAAACCCTAAACCCTCTTGAGTGTTGTTGGAGCTTGTAAGGCCATTTTTAGTGCATTTTGTGTTCTTGGAGAGGTGTGATCATCTTGGAGTCTCATTGATCAAGGAAGAGCTTTTGGATCCAAGTTCTCCAGCTCATTTACAAACCCCAAAAAGGTATATAAGCTTCCAACTTTCCTTATAGAAGTTTAGATCTAGGTTTATGGAGATTTGGACCATTTTAGGTCCAAAGAATGGACCTTTTTTATGAAACTAGTGTTTGATCTTAGGGTTGCCACCTTTAGAGCTAAAAGGTCCCATAAGCAGTAAAGTCTCCATCTTGGACGTCTTAATGGGTTCATGCATGAGATCTAGCCCTCTTCATGGAAGAAGAATCTCATTTTGGGATTTTAGGCTTGATTAGGCCAAGTTAAGTCACAAAGTCAGTGACTTTATGGATTAAGACATGGAAAAGGACCAGGATCTATGTTTGTAGCCTCTGAAGTGGAGTATAAAGCTCGTAATGAGAAATGGACTTAACAGGGGGTTACGCTGAGCGTACGTGTAAGTACGCCAACGTACTCACCACTTACCTAGTACGCTTAGCGTACGTGGAGGTACGCCCGGCGTACTCTATCAGTTTGGGCTTCGAATTATTGGGCCATGATTTGGACTTTGGGCCTCAGTGGGCCAGCAGAAGTTAGATGATGTGGGCCAAAATGATACTTGGGCTTAGGGTAAGGCCCATTAGAGGGATTAGGCCTGATTTAGCAAAGCAATTAGTGGGCCACTAGTGGGCTTGGGAAGCTTACCTAGTATTGGGTCTTAGTTTGGGCCTTAGATATGGACCAAGTTGGACTAGGGGTCGAATGGTCATTTTACCCTAAGAAGGATTAAGATATTTAACTAAGTGGTGTTTGGTATTGGTAGTTTGGGAAGCCGAAGGGTCAGTAGTTCAGGAATTTGTCAATCAGCAACCAGAGGAGTATCAGTAGGGTTCAGTAGTGCGAGTGAGTCTCCTTACTGTGTGAATGAGTCTAAGGCACAATGTCGGCCCATATAGTTTATGAGTAGGAAGACTCGGGGGTTGCCCTAGGCACTGTATGATAGTATGTGATTCCGGATCAAGGTCCGATGCCAGGCGGGTGCCCGAGGAATGTTGTTTGTATGATAGTTTATACTTGTTGTCTGTGTGATACTCGTATATGCCTGGTAGGGAGGTGAGGGTGGGCAAGGTCCTGTATCTCACCATTAGTAGAGTATGGACGGGGTTCTGTATCTCATTAGTAGCGGAGCAGGGGCGAGGCCCGAGATAGGAGAGGGGTGAGTGTGGGCGGGGGCCCGTATCTCACTATCAGCAGGAGCATGGACGGGGTTTCATGACTCGTCAGTAAAAGGACACGGGTGAGGCCTAGTTAGGCAAGGCCTTAGATCAGGAGTATGGTAGAGTATATTAGCTACTTGTTATGTGTTATGTTATATGTTTGTATGCGTTTAGTGGGTGAGGCCCAGAGACAGGAGGGGCCTAAGAGAAACAGATTTGTATACCGAGTGGGGCTCGATGCCAGGCGAGTCCTGATGCTGGGCGGGGCCCGATGTCGGAGCTAGTCCGATGTCGGGTAAGTCTCGATGCAACGGACGGGGGGCAGTAT